CTTTTGCTATCGACAGCTATTGCTTGTGTATTCTTCCGACTCTCACCTTTATATAAGGTTTTACGTTTATGCAGCCCATCTTAAAGATCTTTAAGGTACGTTGTCTACCTTAAAAGATATCTCCAGTGCACCAATTGCCATGTGACATTTGCACTTTCCGTTCGTGTTAAATACATGTAGTCTAGAATGTCAGTCTAGAATGTCAGTCGCCGGGTTTTGCTTCGCCCCACTTCTGCCACCWCATTATATTTTGATTGCGTTTCMCTTTAGAAAGACATATGCATCTTGTAATTGAGAAAACTAGACTTGCGCGCGTTCTTGGTTGTCACAYTCCGCGCTATAAATGTTTTGGCTCAAAAGATGCCGTTTTAAAAGATTGCATKTCWTGATAACCTTGCARTAGACGCTTTTGCTCTCTAGGTAACCGCATTGTTATTATTATTTYCCAAGGCCTACTCAAATAATATTGCATACTAGTACCATTCCAACACTGAGAGGACGACTAATTACACGAGGAAAGCTAATCTCCAGAAATTTAGAACATTACGCTCTCCACCTGTCTTAAAAAAAATGGAAAAAATATCTTTGAAAACYTCAAACCATTCCGAACCTTTTGTRGAWTCTCATTGAAGRTTGTKACAAAAAATTGGTCTTGAAAGACATMCTTTTATTATTATGTCTACGGTTTTAGGAAAGCGGTCTGAACGAGGTCCTTCCCACATGTCTGTCCATTTGGTATTATGCTATCWTTCTATATTGTTTCAAAGGATACCATATGGGTGCATTTTAAATTGCTTTTCCGCACGAAGAGACAAGATTCTATAGGGGCCGGGTTTTGGTTCGTCCCACTTCTACCACCACATTATATTTTAGTTGTGTTTCACTTTAGAAAGACATATGCATCTTGTTATTGAGAAAACCAGACTTGCGCAAGTTTTAGGTTTCTTTCCCGCATCGAAAGACAAGATTCTATAGCGGCCGGGTTAGGTTCCTCCTACTTTTGACACCAAATCATATTTTAGTTGTTTTTCACTTGCATTCAAATTCAAATTCAATAGAGAARACCAGACGTGCGCGCGTTTTAGGTTTTGTTTTCGGCACCAAAAGACAACATCCTAAGGGCTGGGTTTTGGATCGTCCACCTTTTGCTCCCACATAGCATTATATTTCACTTCAGGAGGCCTTGTGTGTTTTTTCCATTGAAAAAACGTCCATACGGTCGCACGTTTTAGATGGTTTTCCGCATCAAAGGGCAAGGGTTTTTGGTTCGTCCCAATTTTTTTCCACGCGTTGTATTGAATTTTTTAGTGACTTTTGCATTTTTCAAAAAAGAATACCACACCAAGTAGTTATATCGCTAACCTTCCGCATCAACATACAAGATTGTAGCTCCTTTTGTTTGGCGTCTATAGATAGCGTGCATCTATCGAGCTACATGTTGGTATGAATGTACTTGGGACTCTGGCTTAAATTCAAAATACYTTCTTGAAAAGTTTATCTTATTTCATTCAACTGTTCAATGCTAAGAATTTGACAATATTCAACATAATATCTATCATAAAGAAAGAGAAAGTTAGACTACTATTTTCGAAAAGGAGAGAAAGTTTTTTTTTAGTTTTTTTTTATTTAAAAATGGGAAATGTAATTGAGATGTGATATATCGCTCTATCGCGCGCTCCCKAGTTCTATCGTGGTATTTTGTTTACAATTGCGGTTGCCGATGGCCTTTCATTTTTTTCTTTGTTACGTGAACATAATKAGAATTGCGTTACAAAACAAATTAGGATTTTCAGACGACAAAGCCGCAACATATTGACAAAAATGATATCTAAAATATTAGTCAATAACATGGGTAAAGAAGTCTTTTCAAACGCTTAAATTTGGTCGCTATATTCTTTGAAGATGATAATTTCAACATCWAACAATGTTCGACGCGTGTGGCATTATGTTAAAGTTATTCTTTATTAACACGTAACTTAGCAATTCTAGCAGAATTGACTTTAAAGAGAAGTTATTTAACTCAATGTTTATTAGAAAACTATTTTTTTTTTTTACTTTTCG